TCTTCTTCTTCTTCTTCTTCTTCTTCTTCTTCTTCTTCTTCTTCTTCCTCCTCCTCCTCCTCCTCCTCCTCCTCCTCCTCCTCCTCCTCCTCCTCCTCCTCCTCCTCTTCCTTCTGAGTCCATGGCAGGGTCTGGATCCCAGATTATCTTTATTAATGGCAGTCTCCTGGGGGCTTTCAGGAGCCAAGAGCTTGGCAGTCAAGGCCTTTTCAGCCCTTTCGTTCTCCGAGTGGAAGATAGACTGCCTCCTACAGGGCCATCCATTGTAGACCCCATTGGCGGTGACCCACTTTGGCAAAGAAAACCTGTTTGTTACACTGCCGTCCCAGGAGGAAGCCAAGAAGCTGGCCGGCTGCTTTCATGTCGGTGACAGGCTAATCCAACGTATCACCTTAATGAGCTTCAGCTTTCAGAGCCCAAGGAGGGAGAGTCTCAGGGAAGAAACAGCTAAGCAAATCAGCCGATATTAAACCTTTAGGGAGTCAGCCATTCAGATGTCCTCACTGTTTGTTCCGGGATGCAAGTGGGATGACTTTTTTTGTTTAAAAAAGGCGGTTGTTTGGAGCAAAACTGATTCATTGGAGAGAGATGGGGAGGCGCTTGGAAATCACCAAGGGGGAAAAAGAGTTGAAAGGAAGAATTAGACACAGCGATGTTCAAAGGCAGCCGGCAGTCGACGTTCTAAATCTTGGACCAGAAGGATCCCTCTGTTCCCGGATGCTGTGACAAGCCTTTCCTCGACTTTTCTGCTCCCTGCCTTGTTTGCCTATTTGCCCACCTGCAAGCTTCCTCTCTCGGCTCCCCCAAACTCAAGTCCTGGCATTGGGATTGATCAGCAAAATGTGGCAATGGCCTCCTTTATCCGGCAGAGGGGGCTGCTGCATTTTGCAGAATGCTTTCCTTCTGAATTGGAAGGTGAGGACAGGGAAGAGAGAGCAGGAGGCCTCTCTTTATGCCTGGGATGACCTCAGGGAAGCAGGGAACACACACACACACACACACACACACACACACACACACGAAAGAAATCAAGTCGGTTGGAGTTATATCAAGTTAAAATGCAGAGAATTGAGGGGGTGGGTGTGTCACTTTCCCCCCTATGGATTTCCAGGAGACCAAAGTGAAGAGTCCGGTCAGCTGTTTGGATCCAGCCTCGTCCAGCCTTGTGAGCTGTGTCCGTTGTGGGTTGACCTTACAAATCCGAACTCACCGGGATGCTGGAGGTCTGAGCAGTGGGTGAGAGGGTCTCCATTCCGGATGTCCTGTCTCCTGGTGCGCCTGCAGGAATCGGGGGTGGGGGGGAAGAGAGAGAGAGAGAGAGAGAAAACCACACTGTTTCATCACATTCATGGCGTTTGTGGCACTTTTAAAAATGAAATTGACATTCTAGACTCTCTCTGCTCCAAAATGCAAATGGGCCACAGGATGAAGCCTCATTCGCCCAGTAAACGTGTCAAGATATTCAAACAAAGGACACATTCAGGAATCTGATCCAATGCCAAAAAACGGAAGAATTAATCCATCAACATTTGTGAAAAAGATATTATAAATAATGGCCAGGCAGGGCTGTGCTTAAAAATCAATGCTTCCGATTCATTATTTCTAGGAATATTCTAGCCAAGACTGTAAATGTGTTTTGTTTATCACAAAAGTTACAGGTGGATCTGTAGACAGTTGGATCAATAAGAGCACAACACGCACATTCGGTGTAACTTTTATGAATGTACAAATAAATCTAAAGTGCCTCTTCTTGCCTCTGAAAATAAGACCAGCCAAGCGTTCACTAACTCAAGTAATTTGATTTTCCCGCTAAAGGAAATTCCATTAATGTGTCCTAATGTCTCCTCTCTTTGGTTCTTGTTCTTCTCCACATGTCCCCTGTGAACTTCTGATGAAGAAAGATTTCCCAGTCATGGGTTTGCACTTTCTTCTCTGGCAAGCATTCTCACACGAGGATCTAATCCAAGAGAGGCTCAACCAGGATACCACCTTCCCCTTTTCCTATATTTAGTTTTAGGACCTAGTATGAACAGAACTAGATTGATAAGCATACTCCATCAAAAATGAAGGCGTGCTTATTTAAGAACTGTCCTGTTCATGGAACAGCCTTTTCTAACAGAGGTTTCTTTGGGCTTTTCTGAAACTCTAAACTCCCAATTTGAGGGCATCCTTTGCAAAATCTTTGTCTGTTAAAAGAAATTATTGGGAACATAGGAAGTCCTGAGCACAATGATGAGCTACAAGAGGCTTAATTAAGTTTTGTTTTGAAACTTCATATGTTATTATTGTTTTTGAAAGAGGATGTTGCAAAAATAATTTAAAAAACAACAACCACCAAACACTGTTCCTGTTCAGGCTGCCCCCTGTTGTGTTCCTATTGAAAAAGACCAGAGACACAAGATCCCCGTTCAGTCCCCACAAGTGGAACCTTGAGGAAAAGGAGAGAAAACAAGGAGGTTGCTAGAAGCTGAAGAAAAGGGAGACCGAGCATATTAGAAGGCAGTCAAAGGGAGGGGAGAGAAGAGAGGACCAAGAGGAGGTGGGGGGGGGGGGAACTGCAAACCTTGAAATCACGTCAAGAGTCAAAGGCCAGGAAGAAAGGGGCACAGCTCAGGCATCCTTGCCTTTTTTTCTGGAAAGCTTAACAGATGTCAGAAAGAACATTTTGTCCCATTGTTTTAAATGGAACTAGAACATTCATTAATTGCTCTGGAAAATATTGACCAACATCCAATCCCCATGCCACTCCTTAAATTAGCAAAAAGGATCAAATTGGTTAACAAATAAGTGGTTGTTTTATGCCCATGCTTACTCCTGCCTTTTAAAGACAGGTTCTAGTTTTAAGTTGTGATTTTTTTAAAAACTTTTTTCTCTTCATCTTGGTGTAAGGTTTTTGTAAGGCTTTTCTCTGAACGGAGTGTATTGATTTCTGAAATAAATAAATGCAAAATTCCACTTCTCAGGACGGTTCCAGAAGAAGCCTCTTTTCCTTTATGAAAATAATTATATAACAATCGTAAATAAGGAAAGGCTTTGTCCGAAGGCTCTGATAAGCAGAAATTCATGGCATGAGTCATAGTTTGAGTTAGTGACACAGGAACAGGACTCAGAGCTTGGGGATCTTCCTAAGGAATCATGTGGATTGAGGCAGGCGGATTTTTCCATGGTTGGCCTAGCAAGGCCTGGTATGGACAAGCAGGATCTGCAAAGCCCAGGGCTGCAGGCCCAAGAAATGTCACGATGATGATGATGACCCTTTTGTGATGGAAGCCCCCCCCTTAAACAGCACTTGGTTCCCACCCACCCCCCAGGAATAGGCCAAGCCTAACGGAGGGGAGAGGAGGGGACGGAGAGGCCTGCGAAGGATTTAAGGAGCCAGCAGAGGAAAGTCACCAGGCCTCCCTGCTTTCTCCCCTTTGCTGCTTTTTAGTTGCTTCAGTAAACAACAAACCCCCTTCAGCCCAGAAGCAAGGCGGCTCCAAAGAGACAGTCAAGGAGGGTGCGAGGACCTGGCCAAGGACCTTTGGGGGAAAAAACACGTCTGATGTGACATTTCCAAGTTGGCGCATCCCATGGCAAGTGGGGCTGTGGAGGGGCGGCCCACAAGAGTTTGCCTCGCCTCCACCGACTATAAAATGAGTTGTGTGTTTCTTTCCATCCACGTTGCCCAGTTTACTGATGTGCCAGGCAATGGCGCTCCTGGAAGAAACGAACCACCGAATCACCAGGTATTGGCACTAAAACTAAGGGAGGGTGAACTGGAGCCTTGGTGGTTTATGAACACCGCTCGTCACATGGGTGTCCCTGGCGCAGTCCCAGCGCTCCCAAAGCTGCCCAGAGCAGGCTGCCCGTGGGATCGAGGGAGCGTTGGGGTCAGATGGTCGGACTTGCCTCTTGGCCGTGGGAAAGTAGCGGGAGCAGGAAGCGCCATCCCAAGCGCAATAGGGGTCCCTGGCCAGGCAGCACTCTGCACAGGCTTTCCCGTAGACGTCGCAGCGGTGCAGAGGAAGCTGGGAGACTCCGACTGCCGAGCCGATGTAGAGCTGTTGCTGCAGGGTTGGAAAGAGAAGAAGGAGGCAACCGTAAAGTGCTCCGCGGGGCCAAGGGTTGCACTCAAGGCTGTGCAGGAGCAACTTCTACCACGGTTTCAGGCAACACAAACAATATATATTGTGGGACTTGTAGAATTATGCAGCTGCCCCTCCCTCCCAGAAAGAGAAGCTCCTAATTTTTTAATGGAAGTGGAACTCCACAAGGAATCTTTTTGCTCATTATTAGAGGCAGCAAACAAGGCAGTCGAGTCTACTTACAGAGGTCCTCCTCCCCATTTTTATTTCTCACCCATCAATCCATCCACTGACACGCCATCCTGCATGGTGCACCCAGTATCTTTTAATCTGCTTTATTGGGCTTCATTTGAATGTGTGAGCTCCGATATTCAGGTGCCAAATGCTTTGCAGGCTTCATTTCAAGCCAAGCGCTGCCACCTGCAAATTACTTCATGGAACCAGAAATTCGGAGGGCTGTGCAGGAGCAGATTTGCAGAGATAACCTGCCAGAAGAGCTTCGGACTACTTGGGGGCACAAATCTTCCCCTGGTCTGCAGCTTTTTAAGTCAGCTGCTCCTCTCCCTGCCGAGGCTTACTTTGGAGAGGAAATCCAAGCCCTGCACAGCCCTGGAAACAAGGGAGGGAAAGGCCCTGGGCTCAGCCCAGATGCCTGGAAGCCCCTGCAGGGGACCCTTCACTGCTTCTTCCCTGACCACAAGGAGAAAAGCAACTCTTTCAGCCAGTGGGTGGAAATTCACCCTAATATTTTGCACACCACGAGATAATAAATTCATCATTTCATCATTTCATCCTAAGAAAGTTTCCTCCTTCCCGGAAGAGGAACGGCGATGCACCGAAGACTTTGAAACTTCGAAGGTTCTGGAACAGGAACCAACCTGCTCTCCAAGCCCCCTTCGGTGCAAGCGGCGGGTGAGGCCAGAAGCCTGTCAGAGCGCATTGCATGGCTGTGCGGCCAGACTGACACTTTATAGGCCCCGCTTTACGCACATGACTTGGGCCTCCGTAGATGAAGGGCGCTTTAATGCTGGGGGGATTGGTTTGCCAGAGAGGGGGGGGGGGGGGGGAGCGTAATCCCTCCTGAATACACGGAGAGAACTTGGATCGGAAAAGCCGTCCTTAAATGCAGGGCTCCACGTTATACACGAAATCGGCTCTTTTAAAAAAGAATGTGGAAATAATCAAAAGCAGAGCACTCTGATATTCACACACGCACGCACCCTTGGCACCTCAGCAAAGTCTGCAGCATAGTTTTTTCTCTCTCACAATAGCACATTCATTTAAATCTCTCTCTCTCTCTCTCTCCCTTTCTGCAGTGGAAGAAATTCCAGACAAAATACTTCATGTCAAATACATTCATTTTAGACAGGTTCCTAATGTTGAATGGGGTTTCCAGCACATTTATGATCAATACATCATAAATCATTATAATCAAAGTCAATAAAAGAAAGACGTTCTTGCCTTCTTAAATTTAACACGAAAAAAAGGATTTGTGGTAACACTAGAAAGGACTCTGCAGGCCCTCTGCCTTTGCCTGCCAAAGACCCCAGGATAACTCTCCAGCAACCAACCCTCAGCCGGCCTCCCGAGAGACGCTCCCAACCATTAGGGAATCCTGCCCTGCAGCGAGTCAGAAACAACCACCTTTTGGTGACCCAGAAAGCAACCCCTCAAGGACTAGCCTTGCCTTCTGGGAACACCCCGCATGGTGAAAGGTTGGCGTTCTTGAAAAAGTTAAACAGAATAACAGAGTGGGAAGGGACCCTGGTGGTCTTCTAGTCCAGCCCCCTGATCAAACAGGAGAATCTATGCCATTCCAGACAGCCTCTTCTTAAAAGCCTCCCGGGATGGAGCAGCCACACCTTCCGGAGGCCGTTCCACCGATCGATTGCCCTCACTCTCAGGACGTCTCTCCTTAGTTCTAGGCTGTTTCTCTCTTTTCTCATCTGCACTGAGAAGCAAGACCCTGATTCTGCTTGCAGGCCAGAGGGCCTGAACGAGCCCTGACCGCAAGGGTTGAATGTCTGACAGGGTTTGCTAAAAGGGGGCCCTTCCACATTCTGGCCTCGGTGCCCTGAACCTCATTGAAAGCGAGTCAATCGGGGGGGGGGGGGGGGGGGGGGGAAAGAGGGCCCCAATTTCAGCTGAAAGGCTCTAAGGTTCGTCTAGGACTGGGAAACCCTGATACATAAACAGCCTGGGGGGAAAGAGGATGCGGCTGCTTTAAGTACATTAAAGTTAGTGCAACCCTTACAAGAGAGAGAAGGCTTGTGGTTTCACTCTTAGGAAGGCATAGGAACGAACGCTGCGCTTTCTTGCTTATAGGATTCCATGTGAGAAATCACAAATATTTATGAAGAGGAAACAGGGTGGGGCAGAATTCACAAGTAGGAAGCCAAATTAAGCCCTCTGAAAGTTCAATAAATACTTCAACAAATACCTACCTGCTTCGTGGAAATCTTCATGGCTGAAACAGGCGTGGGTTCCTGAAACAAAAAATAAGAGTTAACATCAAAGGTGATTTAAGGAGCTGCTCTACTTAATGGGATGCTATCTGGATGTCTTAAAACATTTGCATTGCATTTGTGGTTGCTATGGAGGTATTCAAAGGTTCCCACAGTGAAATTCAGTGTATCTTCTTAAGTTAGAGGGTGTCTTTACAAAGCAGGTAGGCAGATGCATCCCTGAGGCTTACAAACTGAGTTTCAGCAACATGGCCCTGCATGGCGATGTCTCCTCACATGGGAATTTATCTGCTTAGCTCACTGGTCCCGGCACAGGGTTCGTCACATGGGGGCTTCTGGCAGGAGCCCCCTGCTTGGACTGAATTGGCTTCTACCCTTTTAGCCTTCCAGAAATATGGAAAAGAGTCTGTGGGTAGGCATAATGTGGCTGCGAACCCCAGAGTTATGATGGGAAATAAAAGCAATCAATCAATAAACCAACAAATCAATACCATCTCCAGGGTAAAAATTCCCTCTTTCTTTCTTTGTTCACTGTGACTTAGCAAAAATAAGTTCCACCTTATTAGGATTTGTAAGCCTCTTGCAATGGTTGTTTCCCTCAATGCTACTGAAACTGGTAAGAGAAAAATGTAGAGGAGGAGGAGGAGGAAGGCTCAGGGTCACTTCTTTCTGGTAGAAATGCAGTGTTGAAATTTCAGGGCTAGTCTAAGTATTAAGTTCCTTAATTCCCTAATAGCATTAGGACGTAGACTTGATATGAGGCTTCATGTGGCTCTATAGCCCTCTCTGAGCTGTTTACAGAGTCAGCGTCTCCCTCCCCCGCCCCCAGACAATCTGTGTCCTCATTTTACCGACCTCAGAAGGAGGGAAGGCTGAGCCAACCTTGAGCCAGTCAGGATCGAACTGCTGGCTGTGGGCAGAGTCAGCCTGCAGTGCTGCATTCCGGCCACTGCAATTGCAGCATAGATATATTTTATTCCCCTCCTTTTCTTGCCAAATCTTTCCAAGGACCTCGGGCCAGTTTATATAAATAAATCCATGTCTCAGTATTCAAACTGGGACTCTTAATTGCTCTGTCATGGGAGCCCTCCGACATCTGAACAACGGACCTTCCGCTGCACCCTGGCCTTAACATCACTCGCCCATCTGTAGAATAAATGTTGTATATTATTTTTGGGAGTGAAAAGATGGGCAATGAGACCTTCAGACATACAGATGATTTCAATTGCAAACAGTTGTATCTTCTGGCCTTTTTTACATTCCAGCAAACGGAGGGAAATAGTGTCAGCGCTAAATACCCTCGGTTGGGCCCGGCCTTCCTAAGCTCCACCTGCGGCTACCTGGGCAGGCAGGCAGCAGGGGTGGCAGCTCACAAAATTTCCCCTCACCCGAAAGACGGTGATCTCTTCCAGTAAGACTTCCTCCAGGTCATGCCAGGTTTCCTTTGGGATGGAGACCACTTTCAGAACAGTTCCAACATCTGAAAGAAAGAAATGAACATTTTTGTTTAAATAGGAGGACTTCTTAAAAATTCAATAGATATCTTGTTTTTCACATTACAATTAGCATCTTTCAGAAAATACAGTCATAAACTCTATGAGTTTGGCAGTTTGATCCTGACCGGCTCAAGGTTGACTCAGCCTTCCATCCTTCCAAGGTGGGTCAAATGAGGACCCAGATTGTTGGGGGCAAATAATGCTGACTCTGTAAAACAGCTGAGAGAGGGCTGGAAAGCACTGTGAAGCAGTGTATAAGTCTAAGGGCTCTTGCTAAGTACTGTTTACACTTTAGGCTTGATTCACAAGGCACATTAGCAAGTGATGTAAAGTATGGAAGAAATAAGAACATTTAATGGCATCTTCCAAAACATCTCAGGATCTACCAGCTAAAGAGGACAGAGGGAATTCTCTACAACCCAAAGCAGTAACTGACATCTAATTAACCACGACTCCCATTAAAATACAACAAATATGATGCATGTGGGGTACAACATTGCTGAATGCAGTCCCTGGGTTGTGCAACAGCACAAAATACAAATAATATTTAGGTAAAATATTTTTTTTAATTTAATACATTAGAATTTAGAAAACAACAACATAGCATTCCAGGGTAAAAATCTACCCGAATCTGTGGGAATCAGGGATGAAAAGACGATTCATTTTCTGAAATGAAGGAGCAGCAGGGAGAGAATCCTATTCTTATACTTGTAAAACATTTTCTGATAGCAGAAGGGATCGCGTTGGGATGTGTTCCTGCATATTTTAAGGAAATTCCGTGATGATTATTTTATAACGTCGGTCCAAATTACAACACATTACATATTAGAGCCCTGAGCATCTGAAATGAAACTTTATCTGCCTTCAGGATCAGCTTCTTCAGCTGAGTAATTTTTCAAGCAGTTTCATGCCACTGAATCAGTCCTTTCTTCTCAGACCAGAAAAGTGTTTGGTGCATAACTTAATTTACAGGAGAGACGTAGTGTGATGAACGCCCGTGTGCTGACAGCGGACGGACCCAGAGTGCACTAGATCAGGGATCTCCAACCTTAGCAACTTTAAGACTAGCGGACTTCAACTCCCAGAGTTCCTCAGCCAGCTTTGCTGGCTGAGGAACTCTGGGAGTTGAAGTCCACTAGTCTTAAAGTTGCCAAGGTTGGAGACCCCTGCACTAGATGATCTTTCTTTACTTCCCCATTAAGTTACAAGTGCAGATGGAGGGACTAAAAGGTGCATTTGCTGGAGAAGATGAAATGAACCTTTGTTTGTGTAAGAATTCATTTTAGCCTATTAATTTAGCCCGCAATTCTAAACCCAGATACCTAAGAGCACAAGGGCCCCTGCTTCAATATAAGCAAGTAAGGACTGAATGGAGTGGAAGAGAACAGAACGGAATTCTTTATTGGCCAAGTGTGACTGGACACATAAGGAATTTGTCTCCAGTGCAGAAGCTCGCAGTGTACATACAAACAACAAAGTGATAGGTGGTTTATCATAAATCATAGTTAAATCAGTAGGCCTACGGGGTCAACACGTATTCTGAAACCCTGATTTTGTTATGTAGTTGGCCACTGGGAATCTGTTTCCTGCAAAACCGCTCTGGAGAGCAACCCTTCCGGCCAGCCCTTGGACCCCATGAGGTCGGCCTCCATGCAGATCCCCGTGCAGGCGCTGTTGCCTTTCCCTGCCCCCAGAGGAGAGAGAAGCGGCCTCCCGTTTTCCTGGCTCGAAAGGCCTTTCTGGAGCCTCAGGGCTGGAAGGGAGCTCCAAGGCCTGCCAGGACAACCATCCAATTGATCTGGGCAGCAAAATCCAATTGACCTGATTCTATTCAGTTCTTTGAATGGAACTGGAGCATGAAATGAAATCAGTTAAAACAATCCCAATGATTTGTATCCATTTTCTGAGCCACATCACCACATAAATGACATTGCCCTAATAGACGTTTGATATTCATACACTTATGATGTAAGATGGTTTAGATCAGCGTTTTCTCAGGGGAAAAAAAACCCGCTTTGTGCGTTGAAATGTTTGCTTAGTTCTCATGCTTTATCACCCTTCCCTTTTAATTAACCCATTGCTCAAAGAACCTCCCTCCCCCCAAAAGTTTCATTGTAGGCACACGGGGCCCCTTCCAGAAGGAAGGACACAAGTGGGATCTTCCTCACTTTTCTGCTCCTCCCCCGGTTTTCTCACTGGGTGTGCAGACTTTGGTATTGTTTTTGCCTTTCACTTCCTAGCAGGTTTGCCAGATGAAACAGGTGAATATCAGTCAGCCTCACCTGTGCCAATGAACAGGACGTCGTACTGGCCGTCTTCTGCATCTACGCGATCAACCACGATTTGTGTGAACTGATAGTCCAAATCTGTCTTGATCATAATGGGCCGATGGTTGATGGGAAAGACAGGGTTATACATGGCCGGGTGGCTTCTTGCAAACGTGATGACTTCATCGGGCAAGTCCTTGGTTGAGTCAAAGCCTCCGAAAGTCTTACTTGGACACTAGTGGGAAGAACACGAGATCGTCAGCAGGAAGGCGGCACCCAGACCATGGGGGGGGAGGGGGAGGGGGGAGAGAACGCCCCATTTTACTCTGCTTCTCCAGCTCTCCAGATGGCATCCAGCAGCAGCTCAGATGCTCAAGAAGCCCATTAACTATTGCGACTGCGTGCCAAGGTCTTTCTAAGAAGCCGAATCACTGTGGAGGCCAATTTGATTTAGTAATATGACTTGTGTTAGGGAAGTTAATCCAATTTGGAATTTGGATTCAATCAGTTTCAAACTAAATTGCTAGGCTTGCTCCCTTTATGAATTCAAATGTGCGACTCTTGCAACGTGCTTGGCAATTTCTGAATTCCTAATGTGTATATACCACTTGAAAAGCAACATACAATTAAATACTTTTCCCCCTTTTGTTCAATCATGTCTGACTCTTGGATGCTTCTTGGACACAAGCCTGTAGATTTCTTGACAAAAGAAACTTTTTTGAAAATAGTTTGCCCTTGCCTCCTTCCTTGAGCTGAAAGAGAATGGCTGGCCCAAGGACACCCAGCAGGCTTTGCTGCCAAGGCAGGACTAGAACTCCCGGCCTCCTGGGTTCTAGACTGATGCCTCAACCACTACACCAAACTGACTCTTATAATTAGATAATAATCTTGATCAATTCAGAAAAAATATAACTACAGACATTGTCTTAGTTCATCGGAGATAAAATTAATCATACACATATTGACCTATATACCACCCACAAATACATATCTTCCTACATTTTATTTATTCCTTTATTTATTTATTCCTTGTCATGTTTATGTAGTGTATATTGAAGGGGGTGACCCCTTGAGAGCTATATGCAATGAAACTTCATTTTAATGTATGTGTTGTGGTTAGCTGGCAGTAGGTGCGGACAGCTGAGGAGAGCGAGGACTCAGATGAGGGGCCAGGACCATTAGGGAGTGCTGCCTTCAGAGATTGTGGGGGCTGGCAGCAGCGATGAGGAGGTTCCCGAGGAGCCTGTGCCAAGTGCAGGGCTGCTTGCAGGAAAGAGCAGTTGCAACAGCATGGGCGACTCGGGAGTAAGGCTGCAAGGTAATGGCCCCTCCTTCAAGAAGATAAAAGCCAGCTGTGAATCGGATGTTCTTTGCAGGAAGCAAAGATGTTTTGAAACTCAGCCTCGTGGACATTACAGTATCTCAAGTTGGTATTTGAAGACTCTTGTGTTGTGAAATATTTCTTATCTGTGATTCTTGGCAGTCTCGCACAGTTTTGGTGAGGTTTGTGCTTATCAAAGCTAATTAGTTTGCAGCAGTCTTTTAACTGGGGATTTGTAAGAATCATTAAAAGGTTTCTGTTCCCTTTGGTTATTGTTTGTCTTCTTGGAAAAGGGTTTGGGTCAGAACAGTATGCTGATAAGTGTATGTGTAAAGTGACAATAAAGTTATTCTAAGTCTAATTTCTAAGCCTTCTAACAAAAAGAAAAAGAGGTAGAAGAGTCCAGCAAGCCAGTTCTGTATGTTTTATTAAGTGTTGGGCATCAGTTCGTACTGAGATAGCCAATGTTTATTTTAGCAACATTGCAATGTTCCTATCCGTTGGTGACTATCAAAGCTGGGAGAACTTCAGACCAAATGCGGTTAAAGACACAGAGGCTGCCCTTCCTTGGAGAACTCGGGAGCCCCATTTCAGCACTTACGCAGCCAGAACAGGGGGAACAGCCCCTTTTTCCAGGCTTCTCCCTGCAGCTGTTTCCTGCTTAAGGGGATTCCACACGGCCTGTCCCCAAGGCAGACCCTAATTTTCCAGATGGAGTGCAACACGGATTGCTTGCATTAATTAGATAATGATTAATTGGAGTGGATTAATGTGCGTGGAGAGGATTGAACAAGGAAAGTCATTTAGAAGCACAAGGAGGTATTGACCAGGCAGTGGGAGAGCCACATGCAAGAGCATGTGTGGCTAATGTTCTGAATTTTTTTCATTTGTTCAATGACCCAATTTTGTAATTTAAATGATCCAGTTTTGTAATTTACAAGCAAGTAGATGCTCATTAAATGTTAAATTTATAATAAAAACACAGTGGGACTTCCCAAAGCGGGCATTTTCTCTTCCCATGCCTCATGTACAAGATGAAAACCGTCTGGCTGATACCCAACCTTGCTTCTGGTGTTTACCACAAGTGGCGCAACTGTTCTGGATTCACCTACTGACTGACTGATGGGATTGATAGGCAGCCTTTCTACTCTGCTGGCCAGTTTTCCAGCTGAGCTTAACTCTTTGCACCTGGATGCTCTGTCGAAGGGGTTCCCATTACTCAATGACTTAAAGGGGTCTAATAGTCTAATAGTAAGCAAACAACACTGTGGAACTTGGTCGTCTCCCACTGGGAAGCAGCTTTGTTTTGGGCTTAATAGAGAGACCACAACTAAGGAGCCTGGGAAGTTAAAAACAACAAAAACAACAACCCAGAAGAATACAGTAGCAAATCACTTCCATATTGCTGCCAGGACAATTTCTGATTAAGTCCATAAAGTACTTATGAGTCACGCTCAGCTCCAAAAGACGGCTTGCTTTCAACCTTTTCTATAGAGTCAAATTAAAACCTAAGTTGTCGACTGTCTTGTGCCAGCTGTCTGTCAACCCATTTTGAGGCACCAGGTGAGCACAACAACCCTGCTTCGTGCTCAGCTACAGACATTCTTATTTCATCTAAATTTCAGGCTAGTTTTCCACAAAAAAAAATTTATTTTCTGGAAAAGTTGGCCCTAAAGGCTCCTCGAAAGCAAGGGGTGGGGGTAGAAATCTGATAAATGGGAGAGCAGCAAGAGTCGCACAGACCTTTTAAAAGGCCATCTCTTGCATAAAATATATAATTTGTAGGATTATTGCCTTCAAAAGGCTATCACCCTACCTTTAAGCAGAGGACTTCCTAAAGGCTATGGTTTAAATGTGGGGCTGATCCCCCCAATTCCATTTAGTTAAAGTTATTCCTGATGTCCCAACTCAACACCAAGTAACCCTTCTGCCCCCCCCCCCGATTCTCCAGTAGGAAGCGCACTTACGGTTCCTGGCCGAGGGTATGGCACCCGTCCTTGGTAAGGGACCCACTGGTAGTTGGGGCCGTCTCTGTGGGCGTAGGGGCCCAGGAACACCCGCCTCACGTCGGCCATGCTGTACATACAGACAGCAGAGCCCTTGAAGATATTGCTAGCATTGGGGAAAAGCAGAAGAAAAAAAGTTGAGGCATTTCGTTTTCTAAATTAAGAAAGTTTCAGGAACGTCCCCGTGACCCGCATGGACACAGCATTATCCTCATTTCTGTCTGCCTGCTTGCTTGTTTGCCGTTGCTCTGGTTTTCCCCCCAGATTTCTTTTTCACTTAAACCAGTGAGCCTTACTGGTCCTGCTCCCATATCACTCTGGGTACATGGAAAGATGGCTTTCAGGTTCAGTTCCCTTGAGTCATGGAAAGCCACACAACCAATTGACCTCATGAATCTTAAAAAAAAACCTTTGGTGTTGCTTCTAGTGTACTGTATTCTCCCAACATCCCAAACATTTATTGGAAGTAAAAACTTACATTTACTCTACAGTGTATCTGTGTGCTGTTTGTGTGTTATTCTTCACTGCTCTCACTACGTCTCCCTGTATGCGCTCATTCTCCTAACGGGGAATTACCTCAACAGGATGTATATCTTGGCAATGAAACAAGACAATGTGAAATTTGTGTGATACAACATCTGTCTATGATCCATGCACCCTTTTGTACTGTCCACACTCTTTTTATGACTTTCCATAAGAAAACTACAGTTCATGAACCTATCAACATTGCCTGGATTCTCTCAGTTCAAAGGTTAAGAAAATGCCTCCCTTTTTTCCCCAAGCCTCACCTAACAAAGGAAGGTTCCCAAAACAGCCAAACCCTGTAAGGTCCTGTATAAATAGAGCAGCAAGCAACATACCTGGAAGTGGTAAAGACTGCATAGATTATTGGGTTTTTAGGATCTTTTGAGTTCATTAGAAACACATCCTCTGTCAAGAAAAGGAAGAAGGAAAGGCAACTTGGTCAATTCTTAATAAAACAAATACAGTAGCTGACCAGAGAATAAATCTGTATTCACAACTGGCTCTGTCACTTACGGAGTTCGTCGAAATGGGTGTCAATGCCATTAGGTCCTGGCACAGAACACATCAACCGTGCTTTCAAAAAAGTTGTCCACTTGTTAACAAGGCTTCTATGTCCTCCAAAGTCATTCTATCAAATAAAAATTTCACACCAGAATTTTAAGAGCCTCCTGTTTGTCTCCCTCCTGATTGTGACACCTAAAATTACAGTTTTAAGACTTGACTTCTGCTTTGCCTAATGTCCATGTGGGAGACTCTCTACACTGGAGGAACGCCTCCAGAGTAAGGGCAAACAGAACATCAGAGCACAAGTTACTCTGGAGTTCTTCATCACAGGAATTCTCCAATGGCTTTGCTACCACCAAGCCAAGATGAGCAGAATTAGTATAAAAATTGAATTGGGAGACCATATGAATTGAATAAAGGAATGAACAAATAAATAGTAGACAGATAAATTTATTTATTATGGCCATGAGATTTCAAAGGGGTACTTTATTTCAGACCTATTTTTTTGCACCTGACATGATTTATACCTTACAGATCTGTCCTATTCTGGCATGCGTGGCTTTTCCAGAATGTTCCCCATCGATTGCATTTTCTCGGAAGAAAAAATATATCTTGTCATCTTCTGGATTGTCACTTTCAGGGATCAAATGAGCAGTAATAAACCTGGGATCTGTAAAGGAAATGCAAAGTTTATATAGAGCATCAGGTGTTTTCACACAGAACCTTAGGATCTTTCAAACTCTGGTGATGAAGTTCACAATGACGTTTCTCCAAAACTCTAGAGTTTTCTGGAATTTACTGCTGTTGGCTTTCATGGCCAGTATCTCCAGGGTATTGCTGAGCTTCAGAGTTTAGTGATAGTGGTCTAGATGAGAAGTTTCTATAGACCATTTGCCTCTGAGGATTTAGCTGATGAAACATCTGGAAATTTCTTCTCTAGAACTTGATTACCAAACTCAAAATCCCAGCACTAAGCACTAAAGCCCAACAGTGCCCAACTTCCTGGAGTTTGTTTATTCCCCTATATATTTAACTTTCACCATATTCTTGGACGTTATTTCAACCATGATTGATATAAATGACCTGGAAAGAAATGGATGAAGTTTTCAGGACTATGCAATGCTTCATATTCAGTTCTAAAATTGATCTTACATTTCCCTGGCCGAAGAGACAGCAAATACTGTAAGATAATTTCAAGTGTGTGGGAAAATAAACATTCTTTTTGAGGAGTTCACTTCTCATTAATTCAATTTTAAGTCTGAGAAGAATCTGACTATGATTTAAGCGCTAAGGAATTGAGGGGAAAAGTTTCTATGTACATAAGATTTTTAAAAAAACTATTCTAAATTGGACTGAATTCTCATAGTACGAATATAAATAATATGATTTTCATGGATTTATATGGGTTTCTTCAAGACATATAATGCATGTAAAAACATAAGTACAAATTATGGCGTTCTTGATGCTCTCTGAGCTTGGTTGTTTCCTTGCAGAGTTTTCGTTACCCAACTAGGTAACATCTTCAGGGCTGTATAAAAGCTTTTTGTAATGAGAATTACAAATAACACTTGGAATCTGCACAACAGAAGAAAACAAATGAGACACCAGGTAGGTTGCAAACCCATCTTTACAGTAGGTGAGTTTAATTCCCTTATGCACCATTTATTTTTGAGCACCTCTGTATAGGACGGCATTATTAAGCAGATGGGCTCCTTAGCTCTGATCTGGCTCTTCTCTTGAACTTACAGAAACTTAATGGCTCCAAATCTATATAGGGTGTTTCAGCCGGCACGCTTAGTGGCCCCATTTTTGCCCTGTTCTGTTTGATCTTGATGGGCTGTTGAGAGTTCTAAGCAACCTTCCTTCAACATTTGGGGTATGTGGTTTGTGGGAAAGATTGTTTTGTGCATTTCAGAGACTTTTAAGAATCTTCTCCACCATGAAAAGACTTATTTGGTTGTTTATTGAAGAGTTTCTATTGTACCCCTTTCACAAGATCACAAAAGCAATAGCCAGTCAAATAAAACCACAAAAGCAACATCCATATGAATAACATAAATCTTTAGTCATTAAAAAGTCAAACAGAAAAGTGAAATAAGGCTAAAAACAACAAAACTTCTTTTATCCAGACTTCTCTTTCATCAGGTCTCTTTTCTCTATATGGCCAATCAGATTATTTTGTGGGGTGGGAATCCCACTTCGGCTCTGTTTCCAGCAACTTTCCGTTTCACTCCCTTTAATCCTGATCTTGTTAAACTCTGTGTGTGTGTGTGTGTGTGTGTGTGTGTGAGAGAGAGAGAGAGAGAGAGAGAGAGAGAGAGAGAGAGAGATTTGTAGAACAATTTATCAAAGTAGACTACAGCAGGAGTAAGGAGCTGTCAATTATACATCAGCTTTCATCAACCACACTAGACTGCGGAGAAGACAATTGATTGATATGTATTAAAAAAGAACCAACCCAATAAAACAATGTTAGAATTACAGAGTTGACAAAATCTTTCCCCTCCCCAGTTTCAATCTGTGGTGAAGTGTGCTAAAAATAACAAAGGCGGTTTTTAAAGCAACACCAACCCTTCTTCGACATGATTAAGCCTGATCAAAGGAGGATGAAGCCACCAGTTGCTTTTAAGAGCAGGCTGGTGAGTTTTCTCAGCTCCAGCCGGCCTCTGATCTCAGGGCAGAGGCTGGAAATAGAACTCGGCTAAGTTTAAGGGAGAGAAAGAAATACTAAAAACAAAGGGGAGGGGGGGGAAGCAAGCAAGACGTAATTGTTTATCGTTGCAGTGGTGGTGATGATGATGGATGATGATGATGACGAAGATGGTCTTCTGGCCAGCAGATGCCATCTCTTCCGTCTCCTTGCCAGGGGTGGGCAGACCCCAGTTCCCACTCCCCATAACTAAATAGCCTATGAAAGAGAAGTTGCCTCCCAACAGTTTCTTGTCCAACATCAGTATCCTGTTGAACTCTTTGTTCTGCCCTGGAGCATTTCTTTTTCTGTTGCAATGATTAAAGAAAAAGCAAACAAAATACTCCTCTCAAAACTACGATGAGATATCCACACACATATATATCAGCATGTAAATCTCCCAAAACATTTTAATGAGGGAAAACTCTTTTATGGAAAGCTATCTGCCAGAAGGCTAAAACTTGTAGGTCACTACCAAAACAATTAAGATAATTCATTTTAAAATTATTAGCTCATGTGTTTTATATTATTTCAGTCCAATGGAGTGAATGTTTAAATGCTACAAACAAGTGTTGAAGTAATAAATCCAAATATCAACCTAAAAAGCACATTAACAAGAAAGCTTGCATCTATTCATGAAGTAGTGCAATATGAAACATCTGACTAAAATCAAAGACTGTCTCCAGGGAATATGAAGTTAAAGTGATATAGACCTTTAAAAATTCTCTTCAAACAAAGCAAGAAATAGTGTTGTAAAATAAAATGCCATTTAGAGGCTGTCTGAGTCCTGAGGGAAATACAAGGCAAGACGCAAATCCTGAGCAACCCAAAGTCAAACAGAAAAGCCACCCAACGCTCCAATCTTCTACCTATATTATGATCCGATCAAGTGGATCTTCTGTTAAAATGTCTCACCATTTCTGTTCAGAGTAACATGGCGTTACTCTTGAGGCAAATACTGGCTCAAAATATTCCACTATTCAGGAGCTATTGTCAGATTTATTCTTGAGAAAAGCCCTACTGAATTAGAAATTGCGAAAGACCAAAAATAGAATTAACAAGACCATATTTGTTTGTTTGGAACCAACGGTTGTAGCTGTTATCAGGGGGAGTGTCATTCATGTACAATTAGCCAAAACTCCTTGGTAAATGTATAGTGAAGGGAGATTGTATACATATTTCAAAGTAATATGAGCATCTTTTCTTTTGTTCTAATGCTTCTTATGAGAAGGAAAAAAAAACTTCTTTCCTTGGAAAATTGACAAACGCAAAGCTCCATATTCAGAAAAGCCCATTAAGAGGAAAGAAAGGCGAAAATGTTGAGCTGTGGTATAATTAGCAGTTTTCAAGGCCTTTGTTCTTAAGCAGAAAACAATAGTTTTGATTCTCGGTAATGACTAATTATACGATGAAGTGAAAAAAAATGAAGTGTGAAATTATATGTAATTCTCCAAGTAAATTAGATTCCTTACAAAATAGTTCTTCTCAGCTGCTCAGCCTGTTTAATTTTAAGGAGACAATTTTCTTTGCCACGTAGAGATCAGGAATCCAAACAAGAAAGGCAAAGAGGAAATCTGAATGTGTACACAGAACTTTAAAGAATTTGGCCAGGGCCAAGTTGATCTTCAGGAGTGAAAGGTCGCTGGATTTTTGCATGCAATTTGGCGAATTCAGTTATTGTAGCAAAGGTCCGTAACCTCCTTTGGTGGCTCAGGTGATGTTTCTCAGTGGGCACCACTGGATAGTTCACTTGTCGTCTTAAGAATTGAGAGTGTACACACAATATGAAACAGGCACCCCATATAGAGAGGAGTGCCCTGTGTATGATCTACTCGGTTGCCTCCCATATATGCCAACAATCTACCCCCAGCACTGACCATCTCCTTTTCCTTCAGCTCTGCATGCAATTATAGTGGCACAAAAAAGACAAGAATGCCCCAAAACAGACCAATAAAAGAGACATACAGAATTTAAAATTCAGAAATACCAATAGAACACAACTGTTAAATTTAAAATACAGAACAAAAAGAAAACAAAACGATCTGAAATAATTAATGACAAAAAAAAGGATGTCACCCAGCTTCTGCAAACCGTGGCCATTGCAGGAAACTTGGCAACCTATTCAGTGAGCCTGGGTAGCGCAGTATTACTGAGCCGGCTACTGCTGGCTCAGTAGCCACAGCCAGCAGTTCATTCCTGACCGGCTGAAGGTTGACTCAGCCTTCCGTCCTTCCAAGGTGGGTAAAATGAGGACCCAGATGGTTGGGAGAGCAAGAGGCTGACTCTGTAAGCCACTCAGAGAGGGCTGGAAAGCACCGTGAAACAGTATACACGTCTAAGTGCTTTGGAGCTATTGCTAATGGTTTGTCTGAATTAGGTGCTGTCGAAGGAAGATTCCAATTTCTTGATTGAAAGAAAACTAAGATTTCTGAAAATTGGGCTTATGAATGCCAGACGTCATGGGTGATACAATGGGAAGCCCAGCAATACACTGGCTATTGACCCTACCTCTGTATCCTAGCAGAAGCCCAGATAGTTTTTGTGTAGGAGGCCAGTATAGTCTCCATAATAGGTAGTTCGCCTGGGTGAGATATGCAGGATCTCACAGAAGTAGCTAGGAAGGGTCCACGGAGAAGCTGCCATTTTGGCCCTGTCGGTTTGGGAGCCTCAATCCCAGACCCTCCGTTGGAGTTCCATTAAGGCTTTGTCTGGGCCCAGAGGCACCAATACCTTGGGTGAGAGACTGTTAGATGCTAGACTGGAATCAAGAGGCCTGGTCATGCTCAGAGAGCCAGTTTGGGGTGACGCTGAAGGCGTCAGGCTAGAAACCGGGAGTTCTAGTTCCGCCATAGGCACGAAGCCAGTTGGGTGATCTTGAGCCAGTCTCTCTCTCTCTCTCACCTCTAGGAAGGAGGCAATGGCAAAGCCTCTTCCGAACTCTTGCCATGAAAACTGCAGGGACCTCTCCAGACAGATGTATG